TCTGAAGATTATATATCTGAAAAAGTACTTGAATTTTTACTATATAAAGAATGCTTTAAACACAATATTAATTGAAACCAACAATTCAACTTAAAAATAGATAAATAAAAGATTTAACCAGACTCTCCAGTCAAGAAGGCAAACATAGTCATATCTGGCTTTAAGATAGTGAAGATTAGTCCCAGATATTCAGCTTAGTGGTTCCACTGCCTGCCTCATAAGCACAAGCACCAGAGTTCAATCCCCAGTACTAAAAAAAAAAAAAAAAAAAAAGATAATGACGTTTTGGAGCACATGGATTTGGTGCCTTGCCTACTGCTCCCTACCAGCTCCAAGCCCACTCTATATTATGTTTTCTCTGAATACAGGAAAGCAAATGTGCTGACCTACCTATCAGCTGACTTGGTCATAGTTGACAAGGTCAGTGCCCTAGAAGACAGAAGGTGAGTGTGAAGGGTCAGCAGCTACAAGAAAACCCCATGGCTATTTTACACTGAAAAATAGCATGAGGTTTTACCCCAAAAGTGTCTCCCTTCACACAGCAGGCTAGAGTTGGAGAAAAAGCCCAGTGTAGCACCGTCATATTTGAGAGGATGGAGACAGAAGCTTTTTTGGCAATGGGTTAATTTTTTAAGACTGAGTGACTATAGAACAACTTTACTTCAGGGTTTCTGGTGTTATCCTACCACGGTGACTGGGTTAGAGATACCAAAAACAGACAGTTGTGGAGAGGGTGTGGGCTAGACATAGTTCCATGAGAAGTTTAAATTCAGGCCAGCAAGGACATGGAACCCTGCCCTCTGTGGGGAGAAGTGAGGCCAATACAGGCAAAATCAGTCATTAGCAGCAGGACAAGATGGGATGGGTGTGCTGGGTGGGCAGGGTTCCTATGGATCACTCAGCTGCACTCAGGGGGTGGCCACTTTAACCCCCGGAGTCTTTTTATCCCTGTCATTTGGAGTGTGTGCTTCCCTCTCAGGGACTCTAGGCACTTTTTCTCTACTTCTGTCTCTAGATTATAGTCCCTTGTTTATCTTTGAATTTTTGTCTTTGGTTTCTTCCTTTTTCTGCCTTTGCCTCTCACCATATCTTTTCTTTTTTTTTCTCAGAGGGGTTAGGATTAAACATTTTTACTTTTTATTATACCAGTACAGTTTAGATAACATAATGATAACATTCATCATAGGGAATTTGTACCTGCATGTGATGTACCTTGCTTATTCTTTTCTTCCCATTCCACTCCCCTTCCTTTGACTCCCTCCCCTCTTTATCTACATGAGACTTGTTCCCATTTTTTCTCTTCCATTCTTTTTATTTCTTGACCCTTTTTTCTTTTTCCCCTTATCTTTTTTTTTGCTTAAATTCTTTTATTGGTACATTTTAGATATACAATATGTTTACATTTATCATTAGGTGCTTATACCTGTACATGATGTATCTTGGTTCTTATTTTTTCCCCATTACCTCTGTGCCCTTCACTCCTTCCACCCTTCCATATTTACATAGACTTTGTTTCCATTTTTTTCTTTTCTCATAATTTTTCCTTTCCCTTCTATCCTTTCCCCTTCCACTCCCTCTTCCCTGACCCCTTTTGAATATTATATCTTGATATTATGCTGAGTATTTTTGCAATTATACCATATTTACCAGAGGGACCCTAAATTTTCTTCTGAAATCCTTAATTTGGACCTAGATTTTTATGAACTTTTCCACTGAAAAACATAATGCACATATGTGAATTGTTTCCAAACCCACATAAAAGTTTTCCAATAGCTAAATTCAGTATCAACTTTTAAAGATAGAATTAAATTTAATTAAAAGTTTGATTGAGCAGGGCATGGTGTGTATATCTGTAATCCCAGCACTTAGGAGACAGATTCGACAGGAGCACCATGACTTTGAGGACAGCCTGAACTACATAGTGCAACCCAGTCTCAAAACAAAACAGAACAAAACAAAGAACACACACACACACACACAGACACACACACACACACAGACACACACACCAAAAAGTTCCATTGGTTAATCACATGTGTTTTATGGCCACATGTGGCCATTGGTTAGTGCATTGGACAAATATCTCTCTGACCCAATGTGTGACCTTAGGTGAGACTCTCAACTTCTCTGATCTTCACACTCTCTATTAGAAAATGGGGAAGGATAATAACACCTCATTCAATGTGTGAGAACTCTGTGTAAAGTACTTCATTCCTCTCCACCAGGAAGTCTCAGGCCGGAATGAAGACCCATTCTCAGTGTCAGATGACTCAGTACAGCAGGAGCCAAGTCCTGAGATAAGGGAGGTCTGTGATGACATCACTCCAAGGTCAGAAAAGTGCAGGTTCCACCACTAAAAGATTGTGTTTCTCTGTCCCCTCCTCTTGGATCAATGGAGTATAACTCAATTGTCCAGATCAGAGTCCTGGGTTCAGCAAGAACTTGCTTAACATGGCAACAATGAAGCTGTCCCATATCCTCCCATACCTTACCTCATTCCTTTTAAAGAGAGGGAGGTGTCTTTGAAAGAGAGAGTTCAAAAAATAAGAGAGAGATCAAACCTGGTGTGGTGGGACACACTGGTAATCCCACCACTTTGGGAGGTGAGGCAAGAGGATTGGAAATTCAAACCCAGCCTGGGCATCTTTGTGACCTAATAAGACCCTGTAGCAAAAGAAGAGATAAAAAATGGCTGAGGATATAGCTTATTGGGAAGTCTCTGGATTCAAACCCTAGTATAAAAACAGTAAATAAAAATGTTGAAATGCAGGCCAGACCAATACAGATGAACATGGGAACTGTCATTCTAGAATGTGCCAAATCTAGACTGCTCCACCCAGGAGCCCTGTAGGTGTGGGCTCACAGTGAATGTAGAGTCAGATCAGAGCTCAGTGGACCTCAATAAAATTGGCCCCTATTTTCTGTGATTTAAATGTCCTCTCCAAAGCTCATGTTGACTTTTAATTGCATTGGTACAGTTTTAAGAGATTGCAACTATGGTGGTACCTTGGTTCACAAACTTAATTTGTTTTATGATTTGGGGAAAGATGGCCACATTTGTGTTTGTGTGGGAAAGATAGTCATAACTGTATTTTTCATCTGATGCAGAGTTTGATAACAAAAACAAAATTTGGCTAAACACTTCTGTTTGTGAGCCAAACTGTTTGCAAACAAAAGTTTTGGGAACTGGGGTATCACTATACCCAATCTATCTGTAGCATTTCCTCCTTGTCTATGGGGAGTACATTCCAAGACCCTCAGTCTAATGCTGAAACTTTAGAGAGTACTGAACCCTGTATGTACTATGTTTTTTCATATATATTATATATATATATATCACTGTACAATAAAGTTTAGCTTATAAGTTAGACACATCAAGAGATTAATGAAAATTACTTAAAATAGAACAGTTATGTCATTATAATGTACTAAGTTATATGAATGTAGTCTCTCAAAATCTCTTGTTGTATTGTGGTTTCCCTCTTCTCCTTGTGATAACATGTGATGATGCAACACCTATGTGATCTGATGCGGTGAGGTGAATGATATAGAAATTGTGATGCAACTTTGGGCTCTTATTGACATGAAAGTACAACAGAAAGAGGATTGTCTGCCTTGGGTGATCCCAGATTATTGAGCCATGAGGATGTTGATGGTTATACATTAAGAGCAGACAATGTTGCTGGTTGAGGATCCGTGATAGTTGAAAGATTTTTTATTTGAAAATTCTTTTGGAAAAACATTGCAATCAAAAGTTGTCTCCTTCAAAGTATAACTGCAGATACTGGCATCATTTGGAGACTCCCTGGTGGCTTTAATGCTGCATTCCATTAGGATCATATTCCATAATTTTATCCTTTAAGACCTGTGTATTTTGTAACACTTCAAATTTCAGTAATGTCCCTATTGTTGGTTTCACTTCTGTTTCTTCTTTGTCTTCCTCTTCCTCTGTAGTTGATTTAACAATTTTCCAAGTCATATTTTGTCGGCACTTCTTGATGGCCTTCAATATGTCCTTCTACTTCTTCATCAAGCATGTGGACAAATCCTTCTCAAATGAATTTTGATTCATTATCAATTACCTAGCCTCTGGTATTCTCTTATACCAGAAAACAGAATAAGACATGAAGGGTTTCAGGGCCTAAAGAGAAAACAGATACATTGGTCAGAGAGAGAAAGAGGGAGAGAGGTGGGGGGTTCCTGCATCATGTAGATATCCACAGGGCTGGTGAGAACCACCCAGAACAAATGGGAGCAACTGAAAACCAAGAGGACCCACTCCCCTTCTACTGTTGGGACTCACCACCCATGAATCTCTTTCCCACATTCTGTTTTCTCATCATTCCCATCTGTGGCTGTCAGAGAAGGGTGTGAGTGGGAAACTGTAGAGGTGGACACTAGACTTCTGCAGGCCTCACAAAGACTGGCTGCCAGATGCACACATACACCAGAACAAGTGCAGCCAGCACATCCAGACTCATCAGCAGGTGGGGAAGTCCCTACTACCTCCACTACTCAAATGCAAACATACCTTCACGTGTGAAAGCAAATCAATACACAGATGCTCCCACATGTGCAAGAATGTACACAGGAGCACACCTGGACTGATTCATAGATACACATAACATCATAACACTGACATATACAATAGCCCCTCATACATGAAAAATATACAAGTATACATAGCCTCAAGCATGCCTGGAAAGACTAAACTAAGAAGACAAAAGACACTCACAATATTGACAACACATGCACCCCAGCACACAGATGCATAGTCTTGTGCACCCTGTCATCTCTTTCACAGTATCCCTGCCAATGTCTAAGGAGGGGCTAAAGTGCTGGGATTGAGTAGGTTACTGAGTTGCCAAACAGGAAGGATGGGCATCATGGTAACTCTCTTCTAAGATCACACTCCTGGATAAAGATGAAAGAGGAGGTGGGGCATAAATGTAGTTGCATAACTGGGTGAGGACACAGGCTGAGGATAAATGGTTCAGTTCCAGGCTGCAGAGGCATTAATGGCAGTCAGACGAGGACCATGGAGCTCAGCATCCTCTTACTCCTCACCCTCCTCATGGGCCTCTTGGTTCTCCTGTTCAGGGGCCACCCAAAGGCCCATGGCCACCTCCCACCAGGCCCCCGTCCTCTCCCCTTCCTGGGGAACCTTCTACAAATGAACAGAAAAGGCCTGCTCAAATCCGTCCTGCAGGTGAGACACAAATGGACAGGGCCCAAGGTGGGCTGCAAGAGCAAAGTCTCCTTTCTGGTTCAGGGTGGGTGGGGAAGATCAGTGTGTAATGGATGTAGTCCTGATTCCTCGAGGATGGTGGTCAGATTGCCACAGGTGTCCTGCCTCTGATGGCACTGTGTGGGGCAGGGTCCTTGGGGGGGGGGCAGATGAAAGGGCATACAGAACTGTCTGAGTGTGAGCAGCAAGTGTAGATTTCATTCTCCTCGGCCCCATCCTGGGTGTCTGCCCAGAAAAGAGAAAAAAAGGGTGATGGTACCAGTCATAAAGGTTTTGCTTCTGTCAGCAGAGAGAACAAAGATTGGCCTGAGTCAATTCAAGGACAAAACGGAAAAGGGAGAAAACATAGGCAGCAAGGAGTGCTTACCAGGGAGGGGAGAGGAAGGGAAAGTAAACAGGATCAAGATGTGATGTGTAAGTACACCAGTTCCCCATGATGAACACATTTATGCTGTATCAGAAATATAGTGATAAGGCCAAGTGTGGTGCTGTACACCTGTAATCCCAGCACTTGGAAAGCTGAGTCAGGAGGATCCCCTTGAGTTTGTGGCCAGCCGGATTACCATGTCTCCAAAATGAAATACTAATAAAAATGGGTAAAATATTGATTTTTTTCATTTATAGAATTAAAAATTCTAACAGTAAATGCTAATACAAACTTACATTAGTAAATTCTATTAAAAATTCTAATGACTAGGACCAGGATTTACCTCAGTGTTTCCACTGCCTGCCTTGCAAATGCAAGGTCCAGAGTTCAATTCCTGCTACCAAACAAACAGAAATTCTAATGAATAACAAAGTCATTGATAGAATATAATCAGGCTCCTTCATTGCATGGTAAATATTCAGGATGAAAGTTTTTATTATAGTTGAGCAATTTCTGATCACAATAGAGGTATACAATGCAAAAAAGGGGGAGGTCTTATAAATTATAAACAGAATCCAGAAATTACTTGGTTTTGTGCCATTGCTTTATACACATGGTTTCAGGATCTACTTTTATCGTGTGTTTATTTGCAGTAGTGGAGATGGAACCCTTGCCCTCTGCCCTGAGCTACACCGCCAACCCTTTTGCATTTTCAGATAGGTTCCTGTTACATTGCCTAGGCTGGCCTTCAGTTTGCAATTTATGTGTCTCACCCCTGAGAGTGGTCAGGATTGCAGGGCTCCACTACCAGACCAGACTAACCATTTACCTAACTATTAATAATCCATCAGCATTAACTGCAGTGGGAGAGCTGGAGCACTGACAGCAACACCCAGCTCCTCATCCTTCCTGCTGTGGAGACCACCCTCTGGGAATTCTAGGCTTCGTAGCCCTTTGTTATCAACAGGTTTTTTTCCTGATCAACGATCAATTTATTGATAATATTCTTTTTATTTTTATTTTTGTGTGTGTGTCAGGAATGATTCTGTGGACAGAATTCTCTGTCATAGTAAACAGAAGAGAAGAAATAAGAGTTTTTTTAAAATTCATTAAGTTTAGTGGTATATTTTACATATGCATTATGAGTACATTCATCATTGGGAATTTGTACCTGTACAAGATATATCTTAAGATCATTTGAAGGCCCAGAAAAGGTTGATATAAGAGGTACTTGGACCCTTAAACACTGGGAGAGTGACAAAGACTGTGGAGATGAAACTATTCTCGATGGGTGTTGGGGTAAAGGTGAGGAAGGAGGCCCAGGTGAATGGGAGAGCATGGTACACACAACAGAGAGGACACAGGCACTGCACTGTGGTACCAACATGAAGAATTGGCTGAAGTGAAGGGGTGCAGTAAGCAATAAAGTGGTCCACCTGGGTAGGCAAAATAGAGTCTCTTGGCAACTTACCCTATTTTCTGTTGCTATGAAAACATAACTGAGGCTGGGACATGATAAAGTAAAATGGTTTAGTTAGCTCACAGTTTTAGAGGCAGACAGTTCAAGACCATCAGTGCTAATTTTCCAGCCTCTGGTGACAGCTTCCTTAGCTGTGTCACCTCATGGTAGAAGAGGAGATAGGGAACCTGCATAATGTAAAAGGCTCCAAACATGTGAGGTGGCACTGCTTTGTAACAACCTGGTTTCTCAAGAACTAGCTCTTTCTGAAAGACCAGCATTAACCCATTCTAAGAGTGTTGCCCACATGATCTCATTACCTTCCTATAGGCCCCTCCTTACAAAGGGTCCACGTCCTCTCAATACGGCCACATAGGGGACCAGGCCCTCAACATATAAACCCATGGAGGACACACTCAAAGCATTTCCAAATTGTATACATGAAACAGGCAAGAAGAGAAGGAAACTGATCCAGATAGAAGACTGAATGCTAAGCTTGATCTCCTGAAACAACCAGCATGGATCTCTCTGGCACATCGTGTGTGAAGTCTGGAGCTTGGCTCACATATAGGTTCTGCTGGCCACCTCAGCTTCTTGAGGTCAGCTCAACTCCAAGCTGCTTGACTCACCAGTCTGGGGTGTGCAGACCTGCGTCTCAGAATACTCTCTGGAGGCTTTAGTTTGTGGCTCAGGAAGCCTAGGCCTGCTCTCCCAGGTAGCTGTGGTGTCTGGAAGGTGGCTGTGTGAACTTTTGTCCAAATGTGGGTGTTACCAAGGTTAAGGACACAGCAACAGTCAAAGGTCTGGAAGCTTGCTGTAGAGTTGCCAGTGCAAGTGCATTAGAAGCCTGAAGTAACTGGAGACTGATTTCCAAAGGCAATGGAGAAGACTGGAGCTCTCCTGAAACAGGGACCCTTCTTTCTTCTTTCCCGTTTTAGTTTGCCCAGGCTATAAGGCTATTGGTTGATGCTACCACATCTAGCGTGGGTCTTGCCCACTCAGTTTGCTGGCCTACATCTCAGTCATACACAGACACACCCAGAACTATGCTTTCTTAATCTGCTAGGCAGTTCCTACTCAAGTCAACTGGCAGATATACCACAGTCAATGGTCGTAAGTAGTATGAAACTCAGTTGTTCAAGGGCAGAAGAAGACAGACAGCCTATAGTGTCTAACAACTCTTCACATTTGGATTTTACAATCGACTTTCTACAATTTCAAAATAAAGCTTTAAAGTTTCTTGTCATGCTGTAGGTTGACCATACAATGAAATGAGAGGTTTTTGAGGTGTAGTTATGGTTCTGGGTATTTTTCAGGTTAGAAGAATATAAATAATTTCAGACCAAGGGTAGTTTTTTGACTCTTGTGAATTAAAGATGGCAATAAATTCTTTGAAAAAATAGTTTGCAGTCATATTAACAATTTTATGGATTAAAATGCCATTCTTTGGGGATTATTTCAGCTTCATTATGAAACTCAATTTTGGCCATAAAACACTTGTTGGTAAAGTGGTGTCTTATGTAGTCCTTTTTTGATGAGGAGGTGGATCTTTCTTAACTTTGAAATTTTATTTTTTTAAACTGGGTGTGGTGGTGCACTCCTATAATCTCAGCCTTTGGGAGGCTGAGTCAGGAGGCTTGCTGCAAATCTGAGGCCACCCTGGGCTACATAGTGAGTTCAAGGCCAATCTGAATTACAATAGAGCCCAGGTCTCAAAAAGCTGCAATACAAAAGCAAAAACAAAATAAAAAAGCAAACAAAAAATCCCCCACAACCAAATAAACCAAAAAACAAAACTTTATTTTTTGATGTTTCTGCCCTTCCTTTTGCTTTTCCTTTGGCTTCTCTGGTTCATCTATTCTCTCACAGAGAATCTGGGTTTGTAATGCAGGCTCCTTGAACTCACTATGTAGCCCAGGTTGTCCTCAAATTCACAGTGATTCTCCTGTCCCAGCCTCTCAAGTACTGGATACAGGTGTGCAGCACCACGCACAGCATTGCCCCATTGTCCATTCTTCCTTGCAGCAAACGTTTCGGTTTTCTTGTGGGAAAGGCTTGGGGCAAAGTGAGATCCTTTATGGACTGTCCCTTGGTTAGTGTTCAGCCCCACTGTCTCACTGGTGAGGTTTCTTAGATGTCCAGGTAAGAATCATTTCTCCTGAGAAGTCATTTGTGATCCTCAGATAAGGTCAGGTGCCCACTATATGCTGTGTTTTTTAAAACAAGGTCTCGCTATGTAGCCCAGGCTGGGCTTGAATTCCTGACAATGTCCAGGCCCCCATGACCTTGGCCCTCCAGGTTCCAAGGACTACATGAAAAAGAAACTATGATCTTTGTAAATTACCCACTCTTGGGCATTTTGTTATATCAGCATGAAATGGACAGATGGTGCAACTCAACACCAGAAGATAGTAACTCACAGGTAGCCTAACAGGGAGAAGGGAAGCTGAGCTCCAGCAGCTGTAGGTCTGGAGGTCTCTTTGTCTCCACAGTCCTTCTAGAGGAAAGCCACTTAGTAATCTGAAGACACTAAAATTTCTGAGAGTTTGATTAAAATTGTGGGCCACCTCCGCTCCAAATAGCCACACGTGTTTTTTCATAAAATACTGCAGCTATACATACCCCCTAGGGCTCTTTCATGGGTTCTCCAAGGAGCTTTTAGGTATCCACAATCTGCCATTTGATTGATTGCACAATGGGCTGGGGGACAAAACTATATTTGTGTCATGATGGAAAGCTCTGGGGTGGGTGACACCACTACTTTTGTATTCCTTGATAAGCTTCCAAATCCTTTTAGTGTTACAGGCTTATAGTTTGCTCCTCTGTAGGATGGTGACAATAAGAACATGTGACTCTTCTTTTTATTTTTTTAATTTTTTTTTGTTTTTTTATTTTATTTTATTTTATTTTTTAAGAACATGTGACTCTTAAGGTTGCTGTGAGGATTAAATGAGACATTGTGTGGAAGTGCTACTTTGATCCACTCATTCCTTTGTTCACCAATTCAGTAATAATTTACTGGACACTTTCTATGTGCTGAGGAATTTTCTAGGCATTGATGATATGGCATCTTGGACAAGGCATATATGATGACTACGCTTACAGATATTCTACTGGGAGAGACAGATAAGCAAGAAATAAACAGAAGCAGTGATGTTAGATAGACAAAACCTATGGTTAAAATAAAGCAGCATGATATTTTAGAAAGTAGTGGGAGCCATTTTAGACTGAGGGATCAAGGAAAGACTTTGTCTTGCTTTGCTTTTGATGAGAGACCCTGAAATATGCAGGTGGCTCGCAGCACAGAGAACAGTTGTTGTTGAAAGAACCTGAACAGGAAAAAGCCTGGGAACAGTGTGGAGGCTGGATCAGAGTGAGCCAAGGGGGAGGTGGGGGGAGAAAACAGAGAAGAGATGGGGCCACGTAATGTAGGACTTTGTGGACCATAGGGAAGACATTGATCTCATTCTCAATGACATGGGAGCAATGGAGGGCTTGGAGAGGTTAGGGAAATTGAGCAATTTACATTTTGATAGGATTCCTATGACAATGAGGATGGTAAAACCATTTTAAATGGTATGAAAATGGAAGGAGGGAAATCAGTGAGAAGGCTTTGCAGAGATCAATGCAAGACATTTTAATAGTAGATGTCACCATTTTACTAATTTTTAGCCAAGTTGTTTTGAAATGGGACAACATCCCACCAAATACACAACTCAGTGAACAACATACTCATGTCCTTGACATGTTGCAGATGAAGTGACAACAGGGATGGTCCCCAGAAACCCCTTCCATCCCCTTCTAGTCACTGCCCTTCTGCTATTCTGACACCATAGTTTGGTTTTTAAATTTTTAAAATGTATATTAGTACATATTTCCAGTACACAGTTTATCATGGGGGCCTGGTATATGTGTATAACAATTCTTAATTCTTTTTACATCCCTTTCCGCTGTCCTTCTCTCTATTGGTCCTCTTTCCATGGGTTACTTTCATCTATATTTGAACTTTATCTGAAAGAAGTGAATATAAACCAAACTTGTTTTCATGTCAAGTTTCTTCCACTCAACATGATGGCTGTGAATTTCATCTAGATTATTGCTTAGAGCTCTAGTGGGCTCCTTTTCATTGTTGCAAAATAATGCCATTGTGTGAAATTTTAACTATTCCACATGTTGATGATCATTTTACTCAGAAGGTTTATATTAATATTCTGGTTGACTTTGGGGGATTTTTTTTTTTTGGTGAACTAGTACACATTTTTATTGAGCAATTATTTGGTGGTAAAGTTGCTGAGTATGCCTTTGTTTAGTTTCGATAAATGCACCTGGCTTTGTATATCAGTGGTTTTACCTCAGCTTTGAATTGAAAATACATGAAAAAATTATGCTTCTATTGAATATGTACAACTTCCTTGCCATTATATTTTGAAAAATACAGTACAACTTCTTATATAGCTTTCCCATTGTATCAGATACAAGTAATCTAGAGATGGCTTGAAGTATACAGAATGAAGGATATAGGTTATGTGCAAATATTACCAAGGATTTTGGTAACCAAGGTAGCCCTGAGATCCACTCCTCACAGATGCCGAATGCTGACTTTTCTGTCTATCCATTTCTCAAGGGGCTGTACCAATCAGATTTTTCAAATTTCTTGATGAGAGCTAGAGGGCCATTACTTTCACTTCCCCTCTACCAAGAGGGTGAGTCAGAGATGTTCTCCCAGCAAATTATTTAGGATCAGAATGCAGGTGGAATATAGGGCACAAGGATTCTTTGGGTTGGGTGAGGTACCAGGGAGATGTGCACCAAATCAAGGGTATGGGTTAAGATGAGATTAGCAATATTTAAACAGCTGTACTGCTTAGGGCCCAACCACTAGAAGCAGAGCCTGGCTGGGTCCTGATTAACACTTTAGTTGCTGCATCTTGGGAAGGAAGTAAGGGAACTGAGGATCGACCAAGGTCCTTGGGGTGGCATTTAATTACCTATGTGTATTTAAGCATTTTAATGATTTAACAACCAGTGAGAATGCTGACTAATAGGAACCCTGGCATGGGTATGCTTCGCAGGTCCGAAAAAAATATGGCGATGTCTTCACTTTGTACCTGGGACCGAGGCCCGTGGTCATGCTTTGTGGGACAGACACCATACGGGAGGCCCTGGTGGACCAAGCTGAGGCTTTCTCTGGCCGGGGGAGAATTGCTTCCATAGATGCTGTCTTCCAGGGACAAAGTGAGGATCTCAAAGGCATTGGGATGGGGTGAAATCGAGGATGGGGCGTGGAGAAGTTCAGTGTGAGAAGGAAAAGAAAGGTGAGGAGGGATCCCAACTCCGTGAACTTCCCCTGCCTTCCTTGACTCCCCTACAACCACTAGGTTTTAACTCGGCCAGTGCAGAACACTGGAAGGTCCTTCGGAGATTCACTTTGGCCACCATGAGGGACTTTGGGATGGGAAAGCGGAGCGTGGAGGAGCGGATTCAGGAGGAGGCTCAGTGTTTGGTGGAGGAGCTACGGAAATCCCAGGGTGAGTCCTGAGGGGTGGTGTGAGTAGGAAAGAAAGGCAAACATACAGAGAGAAGGGCCGGGTGCATAGCAACAGAAACACAGAGAGGTATGAATGGGCAGAGAAAGGTAGAAATAGAGACAGACAGTGATAGGGACAGAAAGAGATGGAATAGAAATGAACAGAGACAAGCAGCAGAGCAACACAGATAGCCAGGGAAGGAGCTGTGAGGTTTACAATGTCCAAGAACAACTCAGAGAAAGAGGCTGAGTGAATGATGCTATTCATTTGGGTCCTCAGAAATCAATTCATGGTTAATTGTATGCATCAAAAGCAAAGAAAAGCCTCCTGTAAAAGAAATCAAAGGGAAAAACCAAGAACAGCAGACATGAAAATGATGAACTGTGTTTTCCTTCCCTCAGTGAAGTGCTGATGAGCAGGCAGTGAGCAAAGAGGCCAGTGGGCCCTCTGCTCTTGGGGAGAATTTTCAGTTCCTTTTGGATCCTCTGCCACAGGGATGTAGAGGTGACTGTGCTCTGTGGTCAGCATCCTTTCTTTCATATCTGGTCTTCATCATGTTTGGGGAGTCTGAAGCTGGTGAGAGCAATAGGGACAGAGAGACTGAAAAGAAAGATGGAGGGAAGTGAGGTGACATGGACACAGAGATGGGGAAAGAGGAGGAGACTGATATAGAGTGAGAAAAAGGAAGTAAAAGAGAGACGAGACAGTGGTAGAGACTCAGAATGGCAGAAAAAAAATAAAGGCAGAGAGAAAGTGAGACAGAAAATTAGAGACAGACGGGCAATACACTGGGCAAGGTCTGCAAAGGAATGACAGGAGACAGACAGGTGAGACCCAGAAACAGAGAGATGATGGGAAGGAGAGAGAGAGGAGAGAAGAGAGACACCTATCCAATGTTCTAGGGCTCAGAGCCTCTGTCCCTCTCATCCAAGCCCTGGAGGAGGGAAAAGAGGTGAAAGGGAGTGAGAGGTAGGAATGAAGTGATGAAGTGATCAGGGCTTTTAAATTTGCACATGCTATTGATTGGATACTGCTGCACCCCTCTGCCCTGGGGATTAATTTTATTCCCTTACAGAGTTGGAGCTGGGGCCCAGGGTGAGATGTAGAGTAAGGACCAACTGCCCTGGCTCTGTCTCTGGGCTTCCTGGTCTGAATCCTGGCCCCAGTAATGAGTACCTGTGTCACCTTGGTCAAATCATTTAACAATTAATCATTCATCCCATCTGTAACATGGAGGTCATAATAAAATGATGTCTTCCTTACAATGTTGTAGAGGAAATTAAGTTAAAATAACACATGAATTGCATAGAATACAGCCTGGCACATAGTCAGGCCACTGAATCTCAGTGTTTATTGCTGTTCTTATCTTTTATTACTGAGCCATGGTAGTCACTGCGGGCAGCAGCCAAACTCTCCCCAGGCTCTTGAGTCTGTCCTGTGAACTGCTGCTTTTCCCCCCAGGAGGTCTTGTGGACCCCTTGTTCTTCTTCCGGCCTGCCACTGCCAATATCATCTGCTCCATTGTCTTTGGAAAACGCTTTGACTACAAAGACCAACAGTTCCTGAGGCTGATGGACCTGATCTATCAGACCTTTGCACTCATGAGCTCCTTTTCCAGCCTGGTAAGGGGAGGAAGCAAGAGGGTGGCATGAGGGGAGCCCCCAGGGCAACTGAGAATGATGGTCTGCTTTGGGGAGGCCCAGAAATATTCATAGGGGTGGAAGAAGGGTAGAGACAGCACAGAAGGACAGGAACCCTGAGAACCAAAATGTGGAAAAGTGAACAAGGACCAAGAATCTGAGAAAAAGCAAGGGGAGTGAAATGGGTGCAGAAATAAAGTGGGACAGAGAAAGAAAACGAAGGCTTGGGGAAGAGAGAAGGGAGGAAAAGAGAGAAGACAGAGAAATGAAAATAAAGGATAGAGGTAGATTTTGGGAGACAAAACACTGTGTGTGTGTATTTGTGTGTGTTTGTGTGTGTGTGTGTCATCTGTATGAAAGAGCCTGAGAGATGCAAACTTAGAGGCTAAAGAGAAGGAGGGATAGTGATTTCTGAAGTGGTTTGGGGGCTCAGGACAGCGTCCTAGCTCTTTGATCTGCTAACTGAGCCCCAGGTTGGCCTCACTGCCCTTTCCTTCTTGCAGGTGTTTGAGCTCTACTCCAGCATCCTGAAACACTTTCCTGGCACACACAGAGAAATCTACAAAAATTTCCAGGAAATCCTCACTTTCATTGGCCACAGTGTGGAGAAACATCAGGAAACCCTGGACCCCAGTGCACCCAGAGACTTCATCGATGCCTACCTGCTCCGCATGGAGAAAGTGAGATCTGGGGAGGGAAAGGGGCAGGAGGGGAGGAGGGAGAGGTGAACAGAATGGAAGCAAAGAAGTGGAGAGTAAAAGAAGGGAAAGAAGAAAAGAGGACAGGGAGGAGAGAATTGGGAAGGGAAGAGAGGAGAAGCTGAAGCTAAAGGAAGATGAAGTGGAAGGAAGGAGAAGGTAAGAAGGAAAGACTGAAGTGAGGATGGAAAGAGAGGGGGCAAGGACTGACAGAGAGAGAAAGTCAATGCAAAAGACCAAAAAGTAATAAGAGAAAAGACCCCCAGAGGCAGAGATAGAATGGGGAGACCAAAAGTGACCAACAAGCCAAAGAGATGAAGAGAGGTGCAAACAGAGCCACGTGGAATAAAGAAAAGCTGAGGGTGGGAAAACAGAGGGCTGTGGGAGAAGCCAAGGACAAAGATGTGCAAAGCAGCCAGATACCTGAGCCTCAGAAATATAGGGCGGGTGCTCAGAGGGACAGGTGACCCTTCCTGCACCAAGGCTTTGGTCTTCCCTGACCCTCTCCTCTCTCTGTGCTCTGGATCTAGGACAAGTCTGACCCCCACACTGAGTTCCACCACAGGAACCTCGTCCTGACCTCTCTTTCACTTTTCATTGCTGGCACAGAGACCACCAGCACAACTCTCCACTATGGCTTCCTGTTTCTGCTCAAATATCCCCATGTCACTGGTGAGTGAGGGATAGCCAGTTGGGAAGGTCTTGTGATCCCCTTTTGTCCTGCAGAGGTGGGTTGGAGGACCTTATGGATGAGAGGCAACACTGGCCAATTATACCAGGAACTCTACAGGCTTTGGACTAGCTCCCAACTAAGCCAGTCCTGGGGATATACAGGTGAATGAAAAATCTGTTGACCTGTTTTTCCACTGCTTTTTCCCATTACACTTAAAAATTAAACCATTCATCCACCCTTCCATCTGTTTATTAATTCACCTGTATAATTACTGATCCTTTTATGTATTATTCATCTAAGAATATGTAGTTTCATTCATTTATTTCAATTAATTGATTCATGAGCTGATCCTTGGAACACTGTAGTTCACTGAATTAGTTGACATGGATTCAATGGCTCATTGAATTATTGTTCATTGGCTCATTTAATAATCCATCTACTGCTGAACTACGTATTTTCCTTCATCAGCTGCCTTTCAATTTATGCTTCATTCATCCATCACTCCTTCATTTATTCAGTTAATGACTCATTTAATCCATGTCTAATTTATTTATCATTTAAGCCTTCCATCCATTTATTTATTTATTCATACCTTCACTACTTCATTCATTAATACATTCCTCTATAAATCTAGTATTCATGTGATTATCCACTAGTGGAGTCTACTGATTTTTTTATGAACCATTTATTAATATGTTTCTCAATCTATGTATGATTGATATATTAAATACACACATTCATTCACTGGTTTGCTCATATTCATGCATCAAACTTTCGATTTAAGGTATGATTCATTGATTGATAGACTCATTTTATCATCCAATTTTTCATGGATTAACGTATTGACTTATTCCATTGTTATAATCTTTAGGATCTAGCAGTGACCCACTTGCATGCATAATAAATAGTGCATTTCTTTTTCATTTTAAAGGAGGAGTTTTGGAGATCTTAATATAAAATTCCATGCAAAATTGTGGGATGTGTCTGTGTGTGTGTGTGTTAGTGTGTGTGTGTAGCTGTCAATGTGGAGAGATAACTTAAAACATTCATTAGATTTTAAAGAGCGAGCATTCTTGTTGATTTTTCCCTCTTTCCCCAACCACAGCTGATTGCTTCAAGGGTATGAATGGCATAACTCCTTTCTGTTAGGTTTCTCTGGCTGGTTGGTCCAAAGAAAATAAGGTCATTGCTGAAGTGCTTTTGTGACGTGGGTCCATTGTTCCCTTTCTGTGCAGAGAGGGTCCACAAGGAAATTGAACAGGTGATTGGCTCACACCGCCAGCCATCCTTGGATGACAGAAACAAAATGCCATACACCGAGGCAGTCATCTATGAGATTCAGAGATTTGCAGACCTCTCACCCATGGGTGTGCCCCGCACAGTCACCAAAGACACTCACTTCCGAGGGTTCATCATCCCCAAGGTGAGCCTAGCTGGGCTCCCACATCTTTGTGTGAGCCTTTTTGGTTTTCTAAACCCCCATCTCATCCTTTTGTTGGTTTCTCAATAGGGAAAGCTTGTTTCAGTTTTGTTTTGCTTTATCTACTTATTTATGTTTCGGCATGTGGAGGCCAGGGAATAGCAATACCTTTTAATCTTGTAAATTTCCTCAGAACACTGACATATACGCAGTCCTGACCACTGCTCTCCATGACCCATGTCACTTTGAAAAACCAGACACCTTCAACCCTGATCACTTTCTGGATGCCAAGGGGGCACTGAAGAGGAGTGAAGCTTTTATGCCCTTCTCCATAGGTAAGTTGATCCATTACCCATCTACAGGACACTCAAGAGTGGTTCCCATTCTGTCCTTGAGACAAAGGATGGCAAACAATTGTTTACTGAGCACTTTAGTATATTCCACTTACTTTAACCCAGATACCCTAGTCCATCTTTACTACAATCCTTGAGGAGAGTTGAGTGTGATATTATGTCCTAAAGGCACATCTTTGTAAGCAGGACCTTGGCAAGTACACAATTTCTAGACCCTTTGCACATCCTGGTTTACACCTTTAATCTCAGCTAATTGGGAGGCTGAGGTAAGAGGATTACAAATCCAAGAGCAGCCTGGGCTACTTAGCAAGATCATATCTCTAAACAAAATAAAAAATGGCTGCTGATGTGTCTTAGTGGTAGAGTGCTTGACTAGTATTACATATCCCTGAATTCAATCCACAGTACTGAATACATATTCTAAATAAGAGGAAACTCATTTTTTATTTTTTTATTCATTAAGTTTATTTGTACACTGCAGGTATACAATATGATGACATTTGGTCTTGGTAATTTATACTTTTACATGGTATATCTTCGTTCTTATTTTTTCCCCATTCTCTTGCCCTCCATTCAAACACTCCACCTCTCCCTATTTACAAAGACTTTGTCTCTGTTTTTTCCTTTTCACATATTTATTCATTTACCTTCTTTCTTTTTCCCTAACCCTCCCACTTCCCCTTCCCTTCCTCTTTGGAATTTTTCTGCATGTTGTACTTTATCTATTATACATTTTGTTCCTCACTTACACTTTCAGTTTATCACACCAGAGAAACTATTTGGTGTTTATACATATATGTCCTACTAATTTCATTTGAGTACTGTCTCAATGTGCATCCATTTAGGTATAAATGTCTCTAGTTTCTCTTTTTTTATGGCTGAGTAGTGTACTGCATTTTATTTTAAAAAGCCACATCTTCTTTATCCAGTTGATGGACAATTGTTCTGTTGCCATATTTTAGCTATTACAAATGGTGATGCCATAAACATTGATTTGCACATATTGCTGTGGTATGATTCTTTTAATTTGTTTGGGAAGACACCCAGAAGAGGGATACCTGGGTCAAATAAGACCTCTAATCCTAGTTGTTTGAAATATCTCCATACTGATTTCCACAGTGGTTGTACCAGTGCACTCCCACCAACAAAGAAGAAGGGTAACTTTCCCCCCAAAACTCCACTAGCATATGTTATTTGTTGATATCTTGATAGCAGCCCTTTTTTTGGAGATGGAATCTCAGTGTTGTTTTCATCTGCATCTCTCAAATGACCAGTGATGTTGAACATTTTTTCATATATTTGTTTGCTGCTTTTAATTCTTTATCTGAGAAATGTCTGTTCATTTCAGATGCCTATTTTTGAAATGAGTCTTTAAATTTAGGGAGTCTAATTTTCTTTAAGTTCTTTATATATTCTCACAGTTCTCCTTTGTCTGAGGAATAGCTAATAAAAATTTTCTCCCATGATCGGTTGTCTCTTAGCTCTGTTGGTGGTTTCTCCTGCAGTGCAGAAGCTTTTTAATAAGATGAGATCCCATGCATATTGAGGACATATGCTTAAGTGAAATAAGTAGGACACATATGTGTAAATACTGAATAGTTTCTCTGGTGTGAGAAACTGAAAGTGTAAATAATAATTAAAATGAATAATTGATAATGGGAAATAGGAAGAAAAGGTCCAAAGGGGTAGAGGAAGTGGCAGGGGTAGGAGAAAGGAAAGAAGGGAAAGCAAAAATTATGAGAAAAGGAAAAAATGGAAACAAAATCTGTGTAAATGGGAAGGGGGGAGGGGGTGAAATGAGGACAGGAAATAGGGAAAAAATTAGAAACAAGATATATCATGTAAAGGTAAAAGTACCCAATGATAAATGTAAATGTATTGTATACCTAAAATGTACCAATAAAATAATCTAAGGGAAAAAAAGTGAGATCCCAGTTTTTGACTCTTTGTGGTACTTCCCATGCTACTGAGGTATTGTTCATAAAATCTTTTCCTACACAGTGCCTTCCAGAGTTCTACCTAACCTATCTTCCAGCAAGTTTAGTGTTTCTGTTTTAATATTTAAACCTTTGATCCACTTTGATTACAGTTTAGTGCACGGTGAAAGATATGGGTCTAGTTTTAATCCTTGGCAGGTTGAGATCCAGTTTTTCCAACAGCATTTATTAAAGAGGCTATCTTTCCTCCAGTGAGGGGTGTTTGTCTTCTTTGTCAAAAATGAGGTGCCTTAGTATGTCTGCAGGTCTTTCTTCATCTTGTAATTGTTCCATTGATCCTCAAGTCTGTTTCTTTGCCAGTACCATGCTGTTTATATCACAGTGACTTTATAGTATAGTTTCACGTTGGGGATTGTGATATCCCCTGTCCTGTCATGTCTTTGTTACCTAGCATTGCTTTTGGTATTGTAGATCTCTTCTGGTTCCAAATGAACTTTTGGATTGTTTTCTCTAGATCTGTGAAATATATGGTTGGGATTTCAATCGGGATTGCATTAAATCTATATAGCAGTTTTGGAAGTATGGCCATTCATTATACACGTTTTTCCCACCCAGGAACAAGGGATGTCTTTTCATTTTCTTGTATCCTCTTCACTCTCTTTTTTCAGAGTGTTGTAGTTTTAAAGGTAGTTACTTACTTCCCTCATTAGATTAATTCCTGGATATTTCATTTTTTGGATCCTATTGTGAAAGGTATTATTTCCCCAATTTCTCTCTCAGTGAGTCTGTTATTTGGGTACAAGAAGGCTCTTGATTTTTGAGTGTTGAAATTGTATCCAGCTACTCTACTGAATCTGTCAATTAAGTCCAGAAGTCTTTGTGTGGAGTTTTTGAGGCCTTCTATGTAGAGTGTCATGTTGTCAGTAAATAATGACAATTTAACTTCTTTGTTTCCCAACTTTATACCTTTTATTTCTTTCTGTGGTCTAATTGCTAATTGTCTAATGTTTCCAGAACTATATTGAATAGGTGTGATTATTTATAGTGGACATCCTTGTCTGCTTCCTGATTTTTGCATGAAAGTTTTCAGTTTTTGACTCTTTAGTATGATGTTGGATGTTGGTTTTACAGAGATAGCTTTTATCAGGTTGAGAGAAAGACCATCTATTCCATTATTTTGTAGGCTGTTTTTCAGGAATGTGTGTTTGATTTTTTGAACAATTTTTCTGCATCAATTGAGATGATCATATGGTTTTTGGGCTTGACTCTGTTAATATAGTGTATTACATTTATTGATTTATGTATGTTGAACCATCATTGCATCTCTGGGATGAATCCAACTTGGTCAGGGTGTATGATCTTGATGATCCTCTGTATTCTGTTTGCTGATATCTTACTGAGGATTTTTGCATCTATATTCATTAGGTAGTTTGGCCTGTAGTTCTCTTTTTTGGCTGGATCTTTCACTCCTTTCAGAATTAAGCAAACCTTGCTTCCAGGAATGAATTTGGGAGTTTTGCTTCCCTTTCAGTTTTATTAAAGAATTTGAGTGGTGGCGTTAGCTGTTCCCTAAATTTCTTGTAGAATTCAAGAAATGAATGCAGTGAAGCCATCAGTACCTGGACTTTAATTTGCTGGTAATTTTTAATTACATTTTCAATTTCACTGATTGATATTGGGAAGTTTAGAAATTTTACATCTTCTTCATTCAACTTTGCTAATTCATATATATCTAGGAATCTGTCCATTTCTTCTGTGTATTCCATTTTGTTGCAGTACAGATTCTTAAAGTAAGTATTTACGATTCTCTGGATTTCTGCTGGATCTGTTGTGATTTCACCTTTTTCACTCCTAATTATATGAATTTGAGCCTTTTCTTTCCTTTTTTGATAAGGTTGGCTAAGATTTTGTCAATTTTATTTATTCTTTCAAAGAACTAACTCTTCAATTTGTTGATTTTTTTGTATCATTCTCTTAGTCTCCATTGCATGGATTTCTGCTCTGATGTTTATAATTTCCTCCCTTTTATGAGATTTGGGTTTGTCTTACTCTTCATTTTCTAGTAGCTAGAGGTTCAGCATTAGGTTATTTGAGCTCACTCTGTTTTCCTGGTATGGGCATTTACTGCTATGAATTTCCCTCATAAAACTGCTTTTATTGTGTCTCATAGATTCCAGTATGTCTCATTGGCATTATCATTTAATTGTAGAAACTATCTAATTTGTTCTTTCATTTCCTTTGTGACCCATTTGATGTTCAGGAGAAGATTACTTAACTTCTATGTGTTTGTGAAGTTCTTGCACTTTCTTTTGCTATTGACCTTCAATTTACTTGCACTATGGTCTGACAATATACAGGGGATCCCTTCAATTCCTTTCAATTTACTTAAGTATGTCCTATGAGCTAGCATGTGGTCTATTTTGGAGAATGACCCATGTGCATCTGAGAAAAATGTATATTCTGATTTTATGTTGTGGAACACTCTGTAGACATCTATCAAGTTTATTTGTTCAAAAGTTTGGTTCAGTTCAAGTAATTTGTTTTTGATTTTTTTGTCTAGATGATCTGTCTATTTGTGAGAGTGTGGTATTGTGGTCCCCCACTGCAATTATATTTGTGCTTATTTCACTTTTAAAGTCCATTAATATTTGCTTTATATATTTGGGTGCACTAGTATTTGGTCCATATATATTTATGATTGTCATCTGTTCTTTTGGATTGTTCCCTTTACAAGGATGTAGTAACCTTCCTTGTTTCTCTTCAATTGGTTTTGGTTAGAAATCTTTGTCTGTAAATAAGATAGCTACCTCTCCTTTTTTCTGGATTCCTGTCACATGGAGAATTGTTTTCCATCATTTTACTTTCAGTCTATGAATTTTTTTTGAATTGTTTCTTGTGTATAGCACATTGTTGGATCTCTCTTCTTAATCCATTTTGCCAGTCTATTTCTTTTGATTGGTGGTTTGAGGACATTAATATTGATGGTTATGGCTGGGAATTTAGCTCAGTGGTTCCACCACCTGCCTTGCGAGCACAGTGTGCTGA